TATGGGAAATTAGCACTTTCTGATATCTCCCAATATACCGGCTCTGTATCACACGACATTAACATCAAAGAGACATTTACTAAACTTTGCACACTATTGCTTTTTCTAATGACACAAAACTGGTTTTGCAGTCTTATAATTACAAATCCACAGTGAAGCTACCACAGGGAGCAATATTTTTTTATATATAACCAATTATAATTAATAATAAAATCAGTGACATTTTTCTGGCTCAAAAAGAAGAACAGTTGTAATAAGAATAATAATAAATTAGGTAAATAAATTAAATAAATATTGCATGGCACCTAATAACACTTTAAAACCAGACTCTGAAATAGAAACCAAATGCAGTTACTTGTGAGGCCATTTCCACGATCTTCTGTTCCACACTAGAGGCTTTGATGGATATTAGTGTCACTTCCTCACTGTAAATCAGTGGGTTCCTCGTTCACCCGACCTAATGAAGGCTGATTTATGGTCACACAGATCCCTTTGGGGCTATGCTCACACTAAACCTTCCTACTCGCACAGGATTCTCCACTTTGAGTGCAAAAAAAAAAAGCTATATAAAAAGTTAAATATGCAAAAGACACTATTAATCCAAATAATGTTGCTAAAATGGTCAGACTGTACTGAAAAATAACACCAAAACAGATTTTAGCTCTCCATACTGCTGGAAAATATGAATACTGGTCTTTGCCATAAACGAAAACAAAAGTGAATTGAATGAGACACTTATTAAGTTAGTAAGTCCATCAGGCTGAGGTGAAACTAGATTTAGTGGAGGCCTCTTTGAACCGTTGCATCTGTAGATTAATTGTTGAGGATCCCACAATTTATGAGGCACCTTTGAACTCGTAGGGCTATATCTCACTACAGAGCCAAGCCTCTCAGAACAATGGGACTGTGATTGATTGGATTCATGGAGGTAGCAGGCGTGTTTTTAAAGGGCCCCCATTTGCTTTTAGAGACACATGCACCATGTTTACTGAAAATACCATTAAAATGTACCCAATCACATCTTGTGCTCTTTTCTGTATGAACAGTTATCCT